ATTAATTTCAATTCAGATAATGGGGAAGAAATGAAATCCTTTCTATTTATGAGCTCCATGTTGCTCTTGAACAATCTCACAATAGTGCTACAGGAGCTGAAAACATACATTCTCAACTGATAAAGCGCTTACCAAAATCATGTTTAGATACCCTTTCAAAGAGTTTTGATGACATTTAGACATCAGTGAAATTTCCTTCTTCAGTGTGTGATGCTATAATTGTTCCAATACCTAAACCTGGACGTGGTCATTCCGATCATCTATCAATTTCACTGATAATTATAATCAGGATCTGGGTAACACATATTATATTTGGGATTACAATTTCGGGGGGAAGGAGGGAAGGGGTTAGCCTAGTGGTTAAAGCGTTTGCTCCTCACGTCTAAGGCCTGGGTTCGATTCCCCACATGAGAAGCCCATTTCTGTTGTCCCCCGCCGTGATATTGCTGGAATATTGCTAAAAAAGGCATAAAACCATACTCGCTCAGTCAGTCAGCCTTTAGGGGGTATGTAGAATAAGAAACCTTCAAAATTAAACCTTTTATTTCTGTTCCTAGCATTGAGATAATTTGAGTAAATATTTCTCTTGTCTGGCTACTTCCATATCCTCCTTGGTAATTGGTAAAGTCACAGGCAAATCAAATACTGACCACATTCAAGAATTCAGAAGAAAGATCAGAATTACAGCATAAACAACTATTTTATCAGTTAAGACGTAATATCAGACATACAAAGCTTTATTTACACATGGGTCCAAGGATGGTGGCGCAGTTGCTTGTGCGGCAGCCACCTTTACTGGATCCAGGACAATATCTTCTGTATTATAAGGGTAACGCTATTTTTCAGGGCATTATCATTTGCAGAAGCCCGAGGTCTTTCATTAACTGCCCGACGAAGGAAAAGACCGAGGGCTTCTGCAAAAGATAATGGCCTAAAACATAGCGTTACCGTTATTATAGCTAAAATGGATAGAATTTCTAATAACATAAGAATAAAAACAATGGCATCGGTTTTGAAGCATTTGTTGCTTTTACAACAAACGGCGGAGGTCACTGACACACCTTTTACAAACGTGGAAACGTCATAGAACAAAACAGGTGACGTCACTATTGAGGGTGACGACATACGACCTTGACCTTTGCCTATACTACCAGCCGCCATTTTTTTCAGTGCTCAACAACGTTTGGGTCGATGTTTTCATCGTGTATGTTGTAATTTATGGTACAATTGTTATGGTTGACACTGGCAAGAAAGTGCATAAAGGCACAGGTACATGTGACGAATGTGAGTCAGAAATTTCGTCAATAATGAACCCAAGTTCAAATGAGCCGTAGGTGATTGAACATCAACAGATGAGCTACTTATGACGTGACCTAACAACGGGCTTGATAATGGCCCGTCGTCAAGCGTTTTGTGGGCGTTATCAAGCTACAGTGGGTTGCTCATTTCTGATAACGTGCGGGCGTTTTAATGATAATTTTGTCCATTTTAGCTATAATACCAGACAGCTCTTTTTCATAGCAGAAGCAATCACCATATTAACATCTTTTTAGAATATCAAACAGTCCAGATATAAACAATATATAATACTCTTTAGTATGATCAATAAATTGGGAACGATCCGAGACAGTGACAATTGTTAAATTCCAATTTTTAAGGAGTCAATGTAGGCTAAGATTTATACTGCCCCCTTTAAATGTTTGCAATGGGATCACGTCTTCTTCCACATTAAGGGGTACCAGGACTAAATGTTTACACTTCACAAGACACGTAATTGGAAAATGGTGACACTGGTGTTTGAATAGCAAACTCAGACACGTAATTAAACAAGCCAGTAGATGCACTAATATAATCTACAGTATTGGTACGTTGGTACACAACACGTGAAGTAACTGCCAGACGCAGATGAATACCGTGGGAGCAGGACAGTTGCCACCCGGGCAATTGCCACCGGACAATTGCCACTTGTATTGCTGAAAGCTGGTTATATTAAAGAATATGTTATTATTTTTTTATGGATTACCATGTCAAACTCATTAAAAGTTGGTAAAGAACTGAATTTATTTTTTATGCTCTGAGCGGCAATTGTCCTAGGTGGCAATAGCCGTGGGTGGCAATTGTCTAGATGGCCCTTCTCATAGACCCTAAAGCCGTTCGTGCAACAGAGGTTAATATGTTGTTTTCCAAATTCATTCACACGCCTGTCCCTTGACTTCCTCTGTTCAAAAATATGTCACTATTTATTTCATGTCCCATAGACGTGGAATATTATCATTATCTTCATCGTTTATTATACAGTCCAAGAATGAAACTCCCGAAGTAACTGAAACAAGCAAAGCTCTACACAATCAATGTCTTTACATATACGAGTATCTGTCAATATATAGATATTATCGGGATGAACATCATTAAACATCTACACCGATGTGAAAGCACTGGGAGAAAAATGCAAAGATTATACGAAGTAATCACACTATTCATAGTTGAAACAGTTTCCGTACCAAGACATACATACACCACATGCTGACGAGTTTGAAATACTTTGAAGAGAGAATTTAGTCCAAATTTCCAAAAGGCAGTCAAATCCTATTATTCACCATATGTAACAAAGTCAGAATAATTATGTTTATACCTCAAACCTCATATATCCCATATCATTAGCAAGATATTTTCAGGCAAGACCCTGTTGGGGGCTCCAAGGATGTGAAGCGAGTGAATCGCTGTCTCACAGGTCTGTCGGTTTGTACCAGACTGTAGTGCTGTGTTCAGGATCCGACTGGTTGTCTGTTATCAAAACGTAAACATCTCAAATTGCGCTCTTTCATTCATGTTTGCGTTTTTCTCTAATGATACATGAAAAGCCTTCAGACATGGATATTCCAGTGTCCTTGAATAGTTTTTCTTTGTATTAAGTACACTAGATACTGAGTACTTCATACTTGTGTGTATTAAAGGTATGTCTTGTAGAAATGTTGGAATTTACAGCATCTTTAAAACTATACTTGACATTTCCAGCCCATAGAATCTGTACTTTGTAAAACTGATTTGTACACGCTACACATCTCATTTCGACGTTCAGGTCGAAAATAATTGAAGTAACGCTAAAATACTCGAAAAAGCAACGAGGACATATTCCAAACAACAAAAACTAGTTGAAGCAACGAGAAAATATTCGAAGCAACGAGAAAATATTCGAAGCAACGAGAAAATACTCGAAGCAACTTTTGCTGAAAAAAATATTTGATGCCACAAAAGTGGCAGCATTAGACTTTGGTATTCTTCTGCCCATTGTATGTTACATGGTTTATACATTGTATGTTACATGGTTTATACATTGTATGTTACATGGTTTATACATTGTATGTTACATGGTTTATACATTGTATGTTACATGGTTTGTATATTACATGGTTTATACATTGTATGTTACATGGTTTATACAGTGTATGTTACATGGTTTATACATTGTATATTACATGGTTTATACATTGTATATTACATGGTTTATAAATTGTATGTTACATGGTTTATACATTGTATGTTACATGGTTTATACATTGTATATTACATGGTTTAAACATTGTATATTACATGGTTTATACATTGTATGTTACATGGTTTATACATTGTATGTTATATGGTTTATACATTGTATGTTACATGGTTTATACATTGTATGTTACATGGTTTATACATTGTATATTACATGGTTTGTTACATGGTTTATACATTGTATATTATATGGTTTATACATTGTATATTACATGGTTTATACATTGTATATTACATGGTTTATACATTGTATATTATATGGTTTATACATTGTATATTACATGGTTTATGTATTGTATGAACAGATTAACTTGGAACACTGATAATTGTTACCACGGATATACGTAGTAATCCCATTTAAAAGAAATAGGTCAAGATATTTCCTTGACGTGTCTCGTCAACGACTACAATAGTAAACCATAAATGGTTGTTTTAAGCCGTCCTTCACCGTCGGGACAGGTGCTGCTAAAGCACTGCTACGACTTCCTTTCGTGTTTGTTTGCATCTATAGACTAAACATTCAAAGCACAATATTCTACCTTAATGATAGGAGTGAGTGAGTGAGTTTAGTTTTAAGCCGCACTCAGCAATATTCCAGCTATATGGCGGCGGTCTGTAAATAATGGAGTCTGGACCAGACAATCCAGGGATCAACATCATGAGCATCGATCTGCGCAATTGGGAACCGATGACATGTGTCAACCAAGTCAGCGAGCCTGACCACCCGATCCCGTCAGTCGCCTATTACGACAAGCATGGGTTACTGAAGATCAGCATTCTAACCCGGACCTTCAGGGGTACGTAATGAAAGGAAGAATACAACTGCAAATATCTATTCCCCAATTAGTGTCAGGTTAATCTATCATCGCTTGGTCACTTATTCCTTCCAGTGGTGTGTTAGATCGTTCACCTACTGCCATGCTCTCTCGTTTGCTTCTATTATGCACATAGTAAATTTCCGTTCAAAAGACAGTATACATTTAAAATTGTATTCGGCAAAGGAAACACAAAAGCTTTAAAAATGTTATTAGGCTGAAAACAGTTACAGAACCTGTACACGTGAGGTCTGAGACACAGCTCTCCACGAAATAACGATATACTTCTTGCCTGTTGATTTTAAGACGTCATTAAACATAGATGTTTACCTTCTTTTGCCTGGCACTTTATCACCTTTATAAACTGTCAGAGTGACATCGCATATCCTACACATTAATCGCATTTCTCTCTTAGTAAACATGTTTATGGGTTTAATGATGTTAATTAATCTCTGCTCACACACCGGCATGTCTTCGCACACATTATACACTTCGACACTAAGTAACTCTACTGTTGAATGCTAAGTATAGTATCTGTCTGTGTCTTTTCAGTCAACAGACCATTTTCCAAGCTGTCCTGAAGGTATAAAAAGGCAAAGCATGAACTGCAGTTCTTTAAGCACTCACAGAACACCTAGGAGGAACCCAGCTTGTCATCAGTCTTCTTCAAGACCGTAAGACGACGTGATGACGTCTGTCTACATCATCACGCTCTCATCAGGCGACTGTTCCGACGCTGAGCAAAGCTCACTGACACCAGAAGTCTCCTCCTATAGCTGTCAGCCTTGTGTGGACGATGTTTCTATTGATGCCGGTTCCCATCTTGACAAAGATGTCCAAACTGACAGTAAGGTCCAGATCGACATATCTGGGGCACATCTGAACAACTCACTCTCCCACGGTCATGACAAAACCTGTAGTGATAGACTCGAGGATACCAATGTATCCTTCACTTACAGCACGCTTGGGGATGTTGAGGAGGCAATCGACAGCATGTCCCCCCAAGGACCACCCAACTTCTCGATCCCCCTCCCTAACAATACGGGATGTGGGGCTGGTATTTGCTGGCTTTGTCCTCCACCTTTTCCCCCAGGGGCTTGGAAACAGCTACGGCGTGGTGTACACCCACCTGAAGGACATGGAAGGATTCTCTGACTATCAAATGTCCTGGATTGGCTCTCTAATGGCAGGGATGCTGGGTGTTGGAGGTAGGATCATGAGACATGATGCAGACATTCAACACACTTCTGTCCTGTTGAGATATATGTGCTTGAACCAAGACACACACTCTCAGACCAACACTGTTTAACAGTCTCTGCCGTGTATTTCTCCAAGTGATAGCCTTATATCATATGTACTAAATGTCCTATCATGAGACCTACGTAATGCATTGCCCAAAGGTGCCGCCAACCTTTCTTAATCGTTGGTTTAATGCTTGATTTTATGTTAAATATTCATACAAATAGTTACCATCTTCTTGACAATGTCTTAATGTTCAGGTGTTTAATGTTCAGTGACAAATACTGGTCATATCATGTAAACTCCACGTGGGGGCTCTAAGAGTGTGTTCTGGGCTTCCATCAGCGTCTGAAACAGGCGTTGTGTTTTGTAACAAAGTTTGATTATTATTTTGTTTTGCTAGAGGATGCTTCTGCTTGAAATGGTGGACCACAACAACACACAACGTTTCATCGTCGTATTAGCTATGGTGACAGTATTCATGAACTAATAACGTGATAATAGAATTAGATTCATCGAACTATAGACATATTAAAATTTCTTCTTTTCTCGTTAATGGTACTTAAATGTTCTTAAATAATTTTACTTCCAGCTGTTTCAATCAATTATTTCTAATCTATGAAACTACTACTTCTTGTATCTAATTGAATCAGGACCTTAAACTTGCATTGCGTTCACAATAACAAACCTGGTTTCGGATTTCAATAGCCATGGATCACCTTTCAGTCTCATACAGCCATTGTCTATACAGATTTCGACAAAATATAGGTTTCCCGAACATAAATTGTTTTGTTAAGTTTATAAAACAAATGTACTGATAGATTTAACAGGTGTACGTGAATACAAATATACAAACTGATACAGTTCTTACGAAATTTGAACGCTTGTTTGCTGATGTGTATATGTTGTTCGTTGAAAGGATGAACTGTGAACATACTTTGTTTTATTTTTTCGCCACCTAAGAGAGAATTTTGTATGTTTAGCTATTCTAGGTTCATACCTCATAGAGGGCGTGGGGTGGCGCCTGACCAGCATCGTTGGAGGCCTTGTTTTAACGCTAGGAATGGTCCTGAGTGCAATGGTTACGAACCTGTATCTTCTTTACCTGTGTCTCGGAGTTATGCCAGGTATGTGTCGTAGTATGTGCCCAGTCATAGTAATCTGTGATATCAAGCTAGCGCCACGGTTCTCTGTGCCCTGTCATAGTAATCTGTGATGTCAAGCTAGCGTCACGGTTCTCTGTGTCCAGTCATAGTAATCTGTGATGTCAAGCTAGCGTACGGCTTTATATACATTTCACAGAGAATCTAATTAACTGTTCATACAATTTGCTCTATTTCCTTCAGGTATTGGTGCAGCTCTGTGTCAGCTAGCAGCTATTGTCTGCATCAGTCACCACTTTGGTAAAGGACTGCCACTTGCGTTGTGTTTCATGGCGACTGGTGGTGCCATTGGAATGCTTACTTTCCCACTTGTTTGGAGTCTCGTCCTGGACAACTTTGGGTGGCGTGGCGCGCTGCTAATGATAGGCGCCATCTCTCTCAACAGTGTCTGGTGCTCCCTCCTCCTGCAGCCAGATCACAGCAAGGGTACGTGTATCACTGCCCTCAGTTTCATGTCATTCACACATAAATGTTAAGTATCAATATAACTATTACAATTTCCACATATGCCTTTACTTGTTAATATGAAACATATTGTAGAGAGGTGGTATCTGTGATTGTTATAGGAAAGAAAGACGTGTTGGCAAGCCGAAAGAGTTGCTGCTTCCCTGACCGTGCCATGTTCAAGCAACGTCCACTGTTCATCTTGTTTCTTCTGTCAGCCATGTTTAGTGGCGTCAGTCTCTTCATATATGGATCGTACATTCCGGAACAGGCCGTGGCAGCTTTACCAGATGTCACGTCCACTGAGATCGCTCTACTGGTCTCAGCCATCGGTGGTGGCAGTTTCTTTGGACGAATTCTTTTTGGCAGCCTTTCCATGACATCGCCCAGAGCTCCACTAATTCTCTTTACAACAGCTTTAGGCCTGTGTGGAGTTTCTGACATCTTTGTGCCCATCTGTAGATCCTACGTCAGCCTGATGTTTAACAGCACACTTCACGGTCTTTTCCTAGGTATGTCCTATGATAATTAGGCTGTGTTTTTGATCAATACTGGCTTTTATTTCAAACGGTTTCAATTCTGTTAAGGTGGAAGAAAACGGAGGAAACTCACCGATGTACTAGCTTATTCCAGTGCTGTTCCAAACATTTCTCTGAAGGCCTGACAAATCAGTTAAATTTTGTACTATATCCCTTCATGGAAGTTGAGGGTTACCCTATGGTTGACAAAGGATTGTGCGTATCTTCAATAATGAAAAATCCAAATCTTGACGAACCCTGATCTGGTATTGCTGGAATCATTTGCCAAAATATAGTGTAACAGTCAACTCACAAATCACTAAGCTAAGTATCAATGCTATGTGTATCTTGTTACACAAATGCAGAAAATGGTTATTACAAATAATATATTAGATTGATTATTCGAATCAGCATCATTTACCAAGGTGTTGCTTGATTGTTTTCACAGGAGGATGGACAACTATCATCTCCCTTGTGACCGTGACCTTGTATGGCGCAGAAAAACTGTCTTTCTTTCTGGGTCTGATCTTCCTCTTTCAAGGACTAGGGTGTGTAGCAGGACCCCCGCTTGCGAGTGAGTCAGTGTCCATCCATTGTTTTACATATCACGTCATCAAAGAGAAGTTTCACTGAATCAACTATTATGAAACGACACAGAAAATTAATTAAAAAAACGCCAGCCTGATGCACATTGCTCTGGATCTTTTACCGTTTCACCTTTATATCAACAGTCTCTCCGACTATTGCACCGTGCTATTCTTTATTTGACCTATAAATTAACCGTCTGTGCGACATTGCACTGTACTATTCTTTAGTTAACCTATAAATTAACCGTCTCTGCGGCATTGCACTGTACTGTTCTTTATTTGACCTATAAATTAACAGTCTCTGCGACATTGCACTGTACTAATCTTTATTTGACCTATAAATTAACAGTCTCTCCGACTATTGCACTGTACTATTCTTTATTTGACCTATAAATTAACAGTCTCTCCGACATTGTACTGTACTATTCTTTATTTGACCTATAAATTAAGAGTCTCTGCGATATTGCACTGTACTAATCTTTATTTGACCTATAAATTAAGAGTCTCTGCGATATTGCACTGTACTAATCTTTATTTGACCTATAAATTAACAGTCTCTCCGACTATTGCACTGTACTATTCTTTATTTGACCTATAAATTAACAGTCTCTCCGACATTGTACTGTACTATTCTTTATTTGACCTATAAATTAAGAGTCTCTGCGATATTGCACTGTACTAATCTTTATTTGACCTATAAATTAAGAGTCTCTGCGATATTGCACTGTACTAATCTTTATTTGACCTATAAATTAAGAGTCTCTGCGATATTGCACTGTACTAATCTTTATTTGACCTATAAATTAAGAGTCTCTGCGATATTGCACTGTACTATTCATTATTTGACCTATTAAGTCACCGTCTCTGCGACATTGCACTGTACTATCCTTTTGGGCGACCTATAAATTAACAGTCTCTCCGACTATTGCACTGTACTATTCTTTAGTTGACCTATACATTAACAGTCTCTGCGATATTGCACTGTACTATTCTTTAGTTGACCTATACATTAACAGTCTCTGCGATATTGCACTGTACTATTCTTTAGTTGACCTATAAATTAACAGTCTCTGCGACATTGCACTGTACTATTGTTCATATGATCTTCATGCCAACAGTCTGTGACATTCTTCATTGACCTTTCAGACATGCTTGTGCAGATGACGATGAACACAGAGATGTTATTCTACTTCGCGGGCTGTGGGTTCTTCCTTGGCGTCCTTCTCATGTTGCCTTTGTTCACGGTTAAGGCTTATGCCAGAAACAGTATGACCAAAGATATCAAAGAAAGGGAGACAACGGGACAGACAAACCTTGCTTATGTGGAAGGTGGTTAACATTTGGTCAAAATCAGTCCTTTGAAAATTGATCTCATGAGCACTGAAGAAAATGTTATCATATATTGACATACACATTTGAATACTTTACAGCTATTTTAAATTATCCTTTCTATAGTAATATATATATATATATATATATATGTTTGTATGTTTCATATTCCATGAATGTGACATGAATATACTATCAGCAAACACTATAGTGACACGTATTATATGAAAGTTAATGTATCTATTTATGTGAACGATGTATGTTGTAAAATAAACTGAATGACGCAGTTGTGATAGTTGCTATCTGTATTGCTGGGATAGTCTTCTACAACTAATACATAGTGTGTTTTCAAGAGTTCGATTCAAATGAAATGTTTTGATCTTTCAATCAAATTTCCAGGAAGTAATCAGGGCGCATGCAGTTCAAAATGTTATAGGGCGGCGGGAAATATTTCTATTAACGTTCCGACGAACAATTTCGTTGTGAAGATGAAATAAAGAATTCGGTGGATCTTTATTAATCAATTACTTTATTTGAAAATATTATGTCACTGAGTGTGATATATGTAAGTGAAGCACAGATACACATGACAACAGCCACACACAATAAAGCAACACATATTTCTAATAACAACAGTTTGGGACAAATACATGAACAAAAAATGAAACTATATGTCACATTCTCGTCTGGCTAGTCGTGTGGTTGTACAGAGAAGGTAGATTACAAAGACCCCCTCCCCTGCATGTAGTGTTCTATCTGATATTCTGTTTGCTCCGGCATGGACGTGCACACATGTTATCAGTACAACTGTCCACGTACAGCGTATACGTTGTCTTTCATCGTGTCTAGGGCTTGGTGCATGATATAGGTGCCATATATAGCCATATAAGTGAATACATCCTCTGCGCATGGCTTATGACCTACAGACGTTACATGACCTCTGGCAGTGACGTAGCATGTAGACCGGATTCGTGATGCAGTGATTGGCTCTTCCCCAAACCGAACATAAATACTGTTCGTCTCGACAACCTGCAATTGCAATGAATACAGCATTAGCCAAGAACTACTGTTTGATGAATTTGTCAGCTACAAACTGCCATGTCACCTGAAAGGAAAGTTATTTTTCGCATGGACTGTAGCGGGCGTGTACAATTAGATGTACATTGGGATGATACTTTCTTCCATTTTGATACAGCTGCTGAGGCCACATGCATTCGTGTGCACGGTTCAACAACTTGAATTGAGATATTTGACATCAAGCTATACGTTCTATAATTTGTATACAGTCTCTACTTAAACTAGCTTTATGGCCTAGATAACGGCAGTTAAAACACGTTCTACAAAATAATCTTGAATAAGACACATGCTCTTATCTTACCTTCATGTGAAATACTTTAATATCATTGGTCAATGAGGCTTTAACAAGATGCCGTGTCACCCCTCCTAGGATGGTGACAACTGGAAAAAATATTACCTGCTGCCACGTAACCGCCAAACTCTCCGCCGAGAAACTGTATCGCTAACAATCGTATGACGTCATAATATGACGCATGCAGTGTCCGGAAAACCGTTCGATTTTTTAGTTCCTATGTACATATTTATTTTACCGACTTTCACTGCTTTATTTAAACTATTTTATACATTAAGTCGTTTGCACACTCAACATAATTAACCATTTTTATAGCAGTGTTAAGCTTGTCAGAATATGCTTCACTGATTTAACAAGTTCAGTCGAGAGGCAGACGCCATTTTGTTTACATGTGATATAGTCGATAGCGTTCTTTAAAATGAAATAAAATTATATTTTGTACATTTAACATGGCGGTAAGATAAATACGTTGTATGCTTCTCCCTCGGGTAATACGGTCTGGTGTACGCCTCTTTGTAGCAGTGTCATCCCTCGCCTACCGGCTCGGGTGACACTGCTACAAAGAGGCGTACATCAGACCGTATTACCCCCGAGATAAGCATACAACTTATAATATTTGGATTGCTTTCACAACACTGCCTAGGCGCTTTGCTCATTCCCTAAACCATGCATGCGTCTGGTCAGAAAACGGCCTTACCATTCTTTGAATGTATAACATTGTTGTTCAATACGGTTCTGATGTTCCCTACACTACATGGAACCAGAACTTACCTGGTCTAACTGTTCAATGGCTTTGTCGGAATGGATGGGAGACTGCGTGAGGGTAGGTCCGCTAGTTATACTTAGACTGTCACCTGACCCAAGTGGAATTAAGAGATTAAACAGGACAAGATATGCGAAAGCAGTTCCTCACCGTTGCAGTTTTTGCACGACTTCTTGCAGTAGATGAGGTTGTATCCTGGGTTGCTTTCACAGAAGCCGTATTTGGCCCAGTTCGCACACCCGCGATCTCGGTCGGTGCACTGGGCTGTTGAACACATAAAAGTTACTATGGTTAGATCCACGCCGCATCAAGGTGAACATTGCAACCAACAGTGAGAGTGGCCTAGAGCACTTCGGTGGATACATGTCCAGAACAGGTGTTAAGAAATAGACAGAACAGTATTCGAGTGTGACTACACTTTTTATAAAGGTATACCATCATCAAGTCTGAGTTGTGTATAATTACCAACAGTGGCTGCCTGTAGTGTGTAAACACTATCTGATATGTGCACACACGGGTAGAGGTTTCAACCAATAACATTTCCTCACGTCGATGAAAACATGTCTAGAAACATACAAAAGCTATTTCTACTTTCGTTTTAAATTACTTTAAAATTTCATAAAAGGGATTATTCTTAGGAATGTGATTGTAGCACTGCCGTCATGTTATTCACTGTCCTACTTGAGAAAGTGGCATATTCAGCTGAAAATGTAGGCTGATGTTCGTCTACCAACGTTCATCTAGGGAAAACTGAAGCACATTGGACATTAACATATTTGTTTTAAGTAATGGTAAATATAATCATTATAAACAGTTTTGATACCCTCAATCTTGGCAATTTAGGACTAGAGTTTTGATGTCGATGATGTGATGCAGACGAGACATTTATTATGCTATATTGCTTTTACAAAAGGGGAATGTATGTTCAATAGCTAAATGGAGGTCTTTTTCCTTACACAAAGGAAACAAAATTGACAACAGTATCTACAAACTCACTCTACGTATTAATACTACAAAACAGTACTGGTGCTCAAATAACAGGCTCAAATATTAAGGTTGAAACACAATTTCCAGTGAGCAGTTTGGTTAGTGACATTAATATGACCTAACTGGAGATGCAGCACTGTGGATTATCCATGCACAATGTCGAGAAACTGGTCAAAACAAAACAAAAGAGACCGACCCAACGCCACACAAATTACTTTATGATAATAACCGAGCTTACTACAACATTGCTCATGGATTCTCTTGTAATTACCTGTAGATGATATTGCCAAGCCCAGATAAGCCCAACAATCAAAAATACACAAAACATCGTCTTTCGTTGAAGCTTTTATTTACAAACTGTAGCAGTCATTTACTCAAATAAAACGTATAACTAATTACAGATGTCATCGCCCGCGATGAAAAACAATAATGACAACACAGGCATTACAAACAATAGTCTCGATACATGCATTACAAACAATTGTCTCAATACATTCATTACAAACAATAGTCTCAATACATGCATTACAAACAATAGTCTCAATACATTCATTACAAACAATAGTGGCAATACATGCATTACAAACAACAATGACAACACAGGCATTACAAACAATAGTCTCAATACATGCATTACAAACAATAGTGGCAATACATGCATTACAGACAACAATGACAACACAGGCATTACAAACAATGGTGGCAACATATGCATTACAAACAATAGTGATAATACATGCATTACAAACAATAGTGATAATACATGCATTACAAACAATAATGACAACACAGGCATTACAAACAATAGTCTCAATACATGCATTACAAACAATAGTCTCAATACATTCATTACAAACAATAATGACAACACAGGCATTACAAACAATACATGCATTACAAACAATAACATGGCAACACAGGCATTACAAACAAACAATAGTCAACACATGCATTACAAACAATAGTCTCAATACATGCATTACAAACAATAGTGGCAATACATGCATTACAAACAATAATGACAACACAGGCATTACAAACAATAGTCTCAATACATGCATTACAAACAATAGTAGCAATACATGCATTACAAACAATAGTGGCAACACATCCATTACAAACAATAGTGGCAACACATCCATTACAAACAATAGTCTCAATACATGCGTTACAAACAATAATGACAATACATGCATTACAAACAATAATGACAATACATGCATTACAAACAATAGTGGCAATACATGCATTACAAACAATAGTGGCAATACATGCATTACAAACAACAGTGGCAACACATCCATTACAAATAATAGTCTCAATACATGCGTTACAAACAACAGTGGCAACACATCCATTACAAACAATAGTCTCAATACATGCATTACAAACAATAGTGGCAATACATGCATTACAAACAATAATGACAACACAGGCATTACAAACAATAACGACAACACAGGCATTACAAACAATAGTCTCAATACATGCATTACAAACAATAATGGCAATACATGCATTACACACACTAGTGATAATAGGTGCATTACAAACGATAATGACGATACGTGCATTACAAACAATAATGACAACACATGCATAACAAACAATAGTGGCAATACATGCATTACAAACACTAGTGATAATAGGTGCATTACAAACGATAATGACGATCCATGCATTACAAACAATAATGACAATACATGCATTACATACAATAGTGGCAATACATGCGTTACAAACAATAGTCTCAATACATGCATTACAAACAATACTGACAATACATGCATTACAAACACTAGTGCTAATAGGTGCATTACAAACAATAATGACGATACATGCATTACAAACATTAGTTACAATACATGCATTACAAACATTAGTTACGATACATGCATTACACACAATAGTCTCAATACATGCTTTACAAACATTAGTTACAATACATGCATTACAAATAATAATGACAATACATGCATTACAAACAATAGTCTCAATACATGCATTACAAACAATAATGACAATGCATTCATGACAAACAGTAATGACAATACATACATTACAAACATCAGAAGGATAGTGTCTCTAAAGAAAAGACTGGGAGCAAGATCCATCCTATTTCAGTTGAGGCGTAATGGGTTTTCTAGTCGCGCCCAAGAGTTTTACACTTAGTATGTACGTGTGTGCATATGGACGTATAACACTGTTATTGTACTTACCCCTGAGACACACTTAGCCGCAGCTTAAACATAGAGACCCAATTCCGACCAAGGGTTCTAACCCGGAGTTCTAATGGTATTATCCCCTAAATGTCGAATGCAAGGCAGAAAAGCAAGCAATTATGTTTTAACGTATTTTGATACGGCGAGGATACTGGACTACCGACCTGCCACTCTCCGAGCAGACCTTCCATCCAAGAGACCACAAGGGTGGTGAAACGTATTTCAACTAATATTAGAATCTCTCATCTGTGACATATAATAAACATAAAGATTCCTAGTTAAAGGTCTTAGTGTTAGTCGTGTGGATATTTTTAACTTTATTTGTAATGATGATCGTAAAGAGTTCAAATAAGGGAGATTGTTAGATTGTGTAAATAATCCTTCCTGTTGCCCATGGTTGCCTCGACTCCATACTGTTACTGCAGTGCTACTGTATCTCACTGATGAGTTAGACAATTAGTCCTAGAAATAAAGATATATTATTTGAATATCTATATCTATAAAAAGTAATTCCAAAAGACGTCCAGATTCCTTATTCTTACTTTCACGAAAAGAGGTGAAGGTATCTCGACTTGTCCCATCTTTCTCAGCTTGAGGTGGGCTTCTTCATAATACATTCCCTATAGCCTGAGAGACAGAGTAACAGTGAATCTTTAAGGAGATGATTCAAGACAGGTTCAAGAACTCAGAGGCATGTTAAGACGTAATGAGCTATGGCTAGCGGGACAACTGTAAGTGTTAACAGAGCAGCAGATCCACTTGTGGGGCCGTCGGTTGTGTCTCCTGTGGTCTCTGAAATATACACAAATATCGTATTTAGCTGACAGTTTAGATGAAGCAAATTAGGAAGCAGCCAGGTAATCAACAAGAGTGTGTAGTGAAATTTCAATTTCACACGTGCAACTCGCACACCTGGCTGTCCTACCAGCAAGTTGTCCCCCTCGTCAAAAATAGCGAAAAGTGACATCAGAATACTGATCGTTTGTTAAACAACTGTTTTATTCGGGTGTTAAAAATTATGAGACAAATCATCATATTGGTCTGTCGATTTCACGTGACTGTGCAAAGTTTGGTTTTGTTGCAATTATTAGATTTTGTGTTAGTGAGCGATTCATCGGTCTCAAATGAACCCATACGGACTTTAATCGGGTTCATACTCCCGCCAGGCTGATGTGACAGAGCTGCACCATTACTAAATGACCACATTGACCAGATCGCTGATACCCAAGTAACTGGTTACTCCTGTACCTTCATCCAAAGTGCAGACTCCACAGGATTTCTGACAGTTGTTCAGCATGTAGCCGGGGTTGATGTCACAGTGGCCGTGTCTAGTCCACGTGCCACACAGGAAGTTTTTGTTCACGCATAGCCCTGAAAGGGAGATAATCCTTGTTCAACTCAACTGTTCTCATGGGCGCAAGTAGGCCTCTTACTGGCCCACGTCGTCCAAAAACTATAAAACCAACCAACTGTTCTACAGTATTTTCAACCCCTTTCATTCAGTCTCAATTTGGGTACGAAATATATATTCACGTTAATGTGTTTCGTTTCTCGAATTATAGAATCATGTAAAAGCTGTAAAGCAAATGGTAGATGTGTTCTTTAATGGAAAGAAAGTAATAATTTAAACTACTCACAACACAATCCATTTCCATGCATAAACTGAACTTAATTCCTTATTACCTGTAAGTGTATCCGTTCGCTGTATCGTGGCAGTGAAGCAGTGGTTTGTTAGTAGCGAGGTATTAATCTTGAAGAATCGCTCCCGGGAAATCAACCGCTTTTATATAACTATAGTAGTATTGCATGTAAAGGTTAGACGTTATCCACCTCGAGGAACATATATGATTAGTAGACATTGGTATGTTATCATTAGGAATAGACTTCAGGGTTAATAGTACGGTGACTAATACGTTTGTTGAAACATAAAATCAAGTCAAGTACAGCGGAATCATTTGCAATATAAGAAAAATGTGATGGCGGTTTAGTTTACGTACCTTTGTATATTACCATCATGTGAAATTAGCCCACATATGTGATTCTACGTGAAGGGAAACTATTCATCTCTATGACATGGAACAATGTAATGTATTACTTAATAACCAATAGTCTGTTTGTTGTTTAAAGCCGCACTTCCAGTTGTATGACCACGGTCAGTAAATATTCGAGTGTAGACCAGATAATCCTGTATTTGACACCATGATCTACACCACTGGGATACGATGACATGTATCTGCTCGGCAAGCCTGATCACCGGAAACCGTTAGTTAAGTCCTCTTTTACGACAACTATGGACTGCTAAGACAAATTCTACCTCGGATCTCCTAATAGTGAGGTAATATGACTTAACGCCGCTTTTAGCAATATTCCAGCCATATCACGGCGGGGGACACCAGAAATGGACTTCACACATTGTACCCATGTGGGGAATCGAACCCGGGTCTTCAGCGTGACGAGCGGACGCTATAACCACAGGTTTTATTACCAAATTATAGCAGAGACACCCGTGTAGCATGATGTTGCAAGAAAGACCTTCAGGTTGTCAATGTGTCAATACTTCCATGCAGTAGTTAGCAGGTAATGTCACACTGACGGGTTAGTAGCTGTAGTACATCTATGTTATGATGTGTTAGCAGCTAGTGAGTCGTGGAGAAACTGGATCCTTCAGTGTACGCTTACCATCTGGGACGATAGTCTGTGTGTGGCATACTTTACAGGCCTTCCGACAGTTGGTCAGCATCCAGGAAGGGTTGATGTCGCAGTGGCCATTGATTGCCCACGTCCTGCACTCTACATCATTATGGGTGTTTTTACATGTTTCTGTGGAAGGATACAAGTACATTCTCAGTAACACTCATGGTGGCACATTCATTGTTTCTTTGGATATAGAAATGGTTTGTGTTTAGAAATAATCAATGTTCAAATAATATTGAGTAACCATGGTCGCTACAAACATATAAAGGACCATAGAGTAATTCCCAGATATGTAAGTTTTACTCACGGTCTGTTCCATTAGTGCCAGTTCCAGTTCCAGTTCCGGTTCCAGTTCCGGTTCCAGTTCCGGTCCCAGTTCCGGTGCCAGTTCCAGTTCCAGTTCCGGTTCCGGTTCCTGTTCCTGTACCAGTTCCAGTTCCAGTTCCAGTTCCAGTTCCAGTTCCAGTTCCAGTTCCTGTTCCTGTACCAGTTCCAGTTCCAGTTTCTGAACACTTGTTACATGATACGGCACAATTGCTTGCCATCCAGTTGGGATTTTTCTTACATTCGCCTTCAGACTCCCAGATATCGCATTGGCGATCCTCATACACATTTTTACACGTTCCTGCAATATAAGATGTAAGTTTTAAATACGCTTTTTTAAATACGGTATTTAATGAATGTGACATGATGACCAACTCAACTAATCTTGTATTCTTCCCGCCTCTCTCTCTCCGTCTGTGTTTGTATTGCCATGAAAGGTTGAGTATGACTGAAATCAGTGCGCTTTGATATGGTATATACTTTATTTGTTCATTTAGTGAATTGTATGTTTGCATCCAATAGAGTGCTGCTGCACTTACCATCTTCACACTTGTTGCAGGACTTCCTGCAGTTGGGAATCATCCACACGGGGTTGGCGCTGCACTCTCCCTTGCTGGCCCAGCGCTTACAAGCAGCCTTGTCACTGTGGCGGTCCAAACACACTCCTGTACACCATAGGACAACATTAAAGGCGCAATGTCACTCATTTTCGACAATATTGTGGCCTATATTATATATACTGGGGAATATGCACTTACTTTAGCTTCCTACTGATGTAATAAAATACTTATTATCCCTTACGACTTGCCTGAAATCGATAATTAAAACTTCGAGGCGAACAGCTTCCAAACAGAAAATATGGAAACATCGAAATCAGTCGCACGTGGTGTTGTCGGTGTTTGCCGACCTGGTTTCAATCACAAGTTGTGCGTAGGATATTTGGTCACGAATGATTCGTTAAGAGAGGTCCAAGGGACATAACTCTATGGGGTTTCCTTGAAATAATGTTCGGCCGGTAGAGGGCGCGAGAGTCGATTTAATGCAACGGTGCATTAATTCATTCGAACTCTGTAACTGAATATTGTAATCTGAATACGTACTTTTTGGGGAATACATTATATGGCAGCTCCCTTGAGGGTTGATAGTTAGTATTATTAGAGAAATGCATTATTTATGTTAAAAGAAGTGTGGTGTAATGCAGTACCTTTAATGTCGCTGGCCGACATAGAACCGGACAACTCAGAACTGCACAATGCATCGCTTACACTGTAGATACATCAATACCAACACAATGGAGCATGACAACACATACTGAATTGTGTGTTTAGTTATCTAATAATCTCACTTGTAGCATGCGCCTTATAGATGACGAAAGGTGTATGTAGTTACCTTCGTCCTGGTTATCCTCCTCGTCGTCGTCGTCGTTGGTAAAGGTGTGGCACAACTGACATGATCTCCTGCAGTGCTTGGCCATCCACTTGGGGTTGATCTGACACTCGCCCTCCACCGCCCACTTGTCGCACTCCACGGTGTTGTGCTTGTTGTGACACTTAGCTGAAGAAACAATGTCTCAGGTCCACATTCTGTGGTAAGAAATGATCACCTCGTTGCGGTTCCCAACCGAAGTCCCCTCAACACTCAACTTTCACCAACCGTACCACTATGGTTGTCATAATTCAGTCTGTAGCAATGTATATGAGTAGCGCTACGATCCATTCCTCAAAGGGACTAAGACTACTCAAGGTTAGGTCTCGTCCAATCTCTATCCCCAATCCCAATGTCCATAATCTTCCTGTCTTCATCCATACAACTGTACACTATATCAGCTTGTTCAGTCTTATACACCTCATGGCAGTATATATCCCATTGTCTTTTTTCTAGAATTATGCATTCACATCCCCTATCAAAACACTCTTTACCCCTCCAAACTTAAGTTCCTACTCTCAGGTCGAGCGTCTTTACTCAACCCCAACCAACTAAAGTCGCCCTAGCCCGCCCCAGTAGAAACACGCTACCTACTCTCAGGTCGAGTGTCTTTACTCAACCCAACCCAACTTAAGTCACCCTAGCCCGCCCCAGTAGAAACACGCTACCTACTCTCAGGTCGAGTGTCTTTACTCAACCCCATCCAACTTAAGTCACCCTAGCAGGCCCAAGTAGAAACACGCTACCTACTCTCCGGTCGAGTGTCTTTACTCAACCCCAACATACTAAAGTCACCCTAGCCCGCCCCAGTAGAAACACGCTACCTACTCTCAGGTCGAGTGTCTTTACTCAACCCCATCCAACTTAAGTCACCCTAGCCCGCCCCAGTAGAAACACGTTACCTACTCTCACGTCGAGTGTCTTTATTCAACCCCACCCAACTTAAGTCACCCTAGCCCGCCCCAGTAGAAACACGCTACCTACTCTCAGGTCGAGTGTCTTTACTCAACCCAACCCAACTTAAGTCACCCTAGCCCGCCCCAGTAGAAACACGCTACCTACTCTCAGGTCGAGTGTCTTTACTCAACCCCACCCAACTAAAGTCACCCTAGCCCGCCCCAGTAGAAACACGCTACCTACTCTCAGGTCGAGTGTCTTTACTCAACCCCACCCAACTAAAGTCACCCTAGCCGGCCCATTAGAAACACGCTACCTACTCTCAGGTCGAGTGTCTTTACTCAACCCAACCCAACTAAAGTCACCCCAGCCCGCCCCAGTAGAAACACGCTACCTACTCTCAGGTCGAGTGTCTTTATTCAACCCCACCCAACTTAAGTCACCCTAGCCCGCCCCAGTAGAAACACGCTACCTACTCTCAGGTCGAGTGTCTTTACTCAACCCCACCCAACTTAAGTCAACCCAGCCCGCCCCAGTAGAAACACGCTACCTACTCTCAGGTCGAGTGTCTTTACTCGCACAGGCGTTGCACGTCTTCTTGCAGTTCCGGGACATCCACCACTCGTTGCTGGCGCAGTCGCCTTGATGTCTCCACTTGCCACACTTCTCGGCAGGGTAGATATCTTTACATATACCTAAATATGCAAAACATTATGTTACATTTATTCGTTCACGACAAAAATAGAAAACAAATGACGTTAGAGGAAAAGCTTATATTACGACACCTCGTTTTCTTTATATGAGAGGATTATTTTGACATTACTAGTTTATGCACGTGACCCATGTGATCACCATGGATGTCCAGTCTACTGACATGTTACTAAGGTCAGTTGTACACAACGCTCATGGAGACAGTAGCCAGGTCTTCCCAGTAACAAGGGTGTATACAACAGATGCTTCAACATGGGCTACACAGAGCATATATCAACTCCACATAATGACAGTCTAGATACTGATGGATTGTTGAAGGTAGGCAATCAGCTTCTTACATGGTGCAAGGTTTCGTCAGAACTGACAGACACAGAAACGTGTGGTTCAGATCAAGCGAGCTTGTAAACATTCAACACGTGATGGCATGCTAAATGACATGCAGTGGAGCTACAGAAGGCTGTCATGCCGAGGCTGTACACATGTGTTGATAGTGCATCAGGACCTAATGTTGTGACGCTGAGTGTATACACCGTTGAAGGGCGGATCCAGGATGTATCGAAATGGGGTCAGTATCTTGGAACATGCTAGTTTGGAGGGGTAAAGATAGGTGAGTTATGGCTACCGGGTTTGGGCAGCTTCTGTACCTACATCAATCCACTCCTTTCAAACGCAACCTTCTCACATAACAGAGAGATGTCTACCAGGCACGTGAGGGGTCAATATATTACACTGGGTGCGGACAGGGTTTCCTCTTTTAATGTCATCCTCACCCTCACCCGCAAAACCCTCACAACTATTTCCCCACCCTGTGTCAGGGAATGTGTGCAGCAAGCTTGGGACATAAGACAAGGGAGTTCATGCATAAAACACCTATGATCCAGTCCTTGGGAACAATGTTTGTAAAAATCCCGAACCACTGCCACGCCCATGTGGTGAAATGGTTCTCTGAAATATACAATGGTTTGTTTGTTTACACGTCCCTGTGCCGAGTGATCATTGATTTCAGAAACAGATGCAAATACCTAAAACTGACAAAGATACATTCATATAAGATACTTCATATTATATCATATAAAGATACATTTATCCTTTTTTCATATCATATATTATGAAATATAGGGTCTGCTTCGTGGGTGCAGATGTGTGAGGGAGTTCCCAAAGAAGCAACCATTGAATTAAATTGGTGACTTCAGCTGAAAACGTTCCTCCTACATCGCGTTATCCTTCTACCCATAATCCTTCGTATGTCAGTTTCCCTCGTGCCCCTTGAGCTGTGACTCAGACTGACCAAACAGACACCAGCTTACCTTCATCAGCCCCATCGGTCCTCGGTCCACACAGTTCACATGCCTTCTTGCAGTTCTTGGTCATGAAGTTGCTGTTGCGGTCACACTCCCCGGAGTTGGCCCAGATATAGCACTGCCAGTCGTCGTACACGTTGTTGCAAGTCTCTGAAATATCCACGGCAAGTGTATATAGTCCCTCTTTCACATTTTTATTTGTTACATTTTTTTTTCTTTTCAGATTTTTAGTCTAAATGCATGTTGGTGGACATACCATCCTTGGCAGCTTGAGTGGCCTTGCCCTCCTGGCAGTCACGTGACCCGTCTTGGCAAATACAGCGACATGTCTGGTCCAGGAAGCCACCATCTTTACACCGGATGTTGGTCGGACATCCCTCTGTAATACATACAACTCGTCATATCAAAGCAAACGTACATATTGAGGGTTAATATAGTCATATACTGCAAGAAAAATGCACGTTTCAAATATGCCTGCATGCATAAATAAATACAGTGTTCTCGCCAGTTTCACGTTTGACTTGAAAATTACCTGTAAACTTGATCTAACAGTATGCATGTGAAAACGTAGCTATTATTCAACTATAATTACTCTCACTATTATTTCAACTGAAGAATAACTGAACTGAAGCAGTCTCGCCAGTTGCAGCTAAGGTCAAAATGTCAACCAACCAGTGACAATCTAGGTTCAAGATATCCTTAACCCATAACGCCATACACTTTTTCCGAAAGAGATGTACATTGTATATTAGAAGCTTTGTTATGATAAAACGGAAATCAATTAAAAGGCATAAAACCCTTTTCATAATCATAGGATACATCGTCTTTTGTACGATTCGACCCGTGAAGGTCCGGGTTAGAACTGATCTTCAGTAACCCATGCTTGTCGTAAGAGGCGACTATTGGGATCGGGTGGTCAGGCTCGCTGACTTGGTTGACACATGTCATCGGTTCCCAATTGCGCAGATCGATGTTCATGCTGTTGATGACTGGATTGTCTGGTCCATACTTCATTATTTACAGACCGCCGCCATATACCTGGAATATTGCTGAGTGCGGCGTAAAACTAAACTCACTCACTCACTCACTTTTGTACGATTCCGACCGAATTTGTGTAAGAATTTGTTTATTTTTGAGTATTTGTTTAAGAATCATATTTGTGAAGCTTATCGATAACGTAGCCATTCCGTGTGGGTCAATAGGAGCGAATGGTATGCGCCATTCGATGCCTTCACCTATGTCGTTACGGGTGGTTGTGGTCAGGCCTACATGTTGTTCAATGCATCGCAAAGATCCATGCCATTTGGACAATAATATGATATGGATCCACTCCTATGACCACCCTTACGACAGACATGGGTAGCGTTTGTTCGTATGTTTGTTGTTTTCAGGTATCACGGCGGTCTGTACATAATCAGGCCTGGAACATACAGTGATTGACATCATGAGCATCGATTGACCCATTTGTTTTGTGATGAAATGCGTCAAGCAAGTCTCCACGTCTGACCGCCAGTCCACGTTATTCGCTTCTGGCAGACCAATTCTAACCTGGATCGCCACGGATCGGATTATCTATTATCTACGTCTTACAGAATTCGCAGGGGTACTTCGGTATAAGCTCCTCACCTCCACAGTTGTACATGAGATTGACCGTCTTGACGTCAGAGTAGGCCAGCTCCTTGAGGAACACTTTCCCAATCTCTTCCTCCTTCTCGGCGTCTATAGCCTGAATAGTCTGGGCCCGCCCGTTGTACGAGAACGCCTGCCAATAAGGGCAGGGCATTTAAGTCTTTAATCTTTGATAATACTATAAAACATACACGTCATGCTACAACTGAACCAGCTTAATGGAAACCAACTGTCTGTACTCACACTGATGCCGTAGTGCATGATGGAGGAGAACTGGTAGTCCACGTCGTATACGTTCACCTTGTCTCGAGAGTACTTGTTGAACCACACGCGCATATGCGGGGCAACGTTCTGGAGCAGGATCCGGATGTGTTGGTCTCTGTCGGGACGCTGGTGTTCGTGGACAAGGCCTATGGCGTGGCCGACCTCGTGCAGGTACAGTCCTCTCTGTTGATGTAGGGAACTTTGAATTAGAAACGGTTGCAACATCTGCTAGGAAGGCAACACAAGGAAAGCCTCTGGGGTTAGCAAACACCCACCTCATGACAGACAGTTATAGTTTAATGAACATGTATAAATACCTACAAATCTACATCCTGGTGCTTCTAGATTGATGGTCTGAACACCTCCGACCATCCCCAGCTGAGAACTGCATCTGTAATGGAAGGTATAATATATCAGATATATTCGGTAAAAGTATGAGATTATGAAATACATATGTGAATATCGAGTATTAGACCAAAGATAGGTGTTGTGGTCAAACATTCCATACATGAAAGTCCATGTATGTTGTCATTAACGCCAAACACATCCGATAGTTTGCACGTGTTGTTGCGATTACCTTGGTTTCATTCATTGTTGCTATATGTAGCGGCAGTAACGTGCTATATGTAGCGGCTGTAACGTGCTATATGTAGCGGCTGTAACGTGCTATATGTAGCGGCTGTAACGTGCTATATGTAGCGGCTGTAACGTGCTATATGTAGCGGCTGTAACGTGCTATATGTAGCGGCTGTAACGTGCTATATGTAGCGGCTGTAACGTGCTATATATATGTAGCGACTGTAACGTGCTAACGTATGTAGCGACTGTAACGTGCTATATGTAGCGGCTGTAACGTGCTATATGTAGCGGCTGTAACGTGCTATATGTAGCGACTGTAACGTGCTATATGTAGCGGCTGTAGCGGCTGTAACGCTGCGTATATGTAGCGGCTGTAACGTGCTATATGTAGCGGCTGTAACGTGCTATATGTATGTAACGTGCTATATGTAGCGGCTGTAACGTGCTATATGTAGCGGCTGTAACGTGCTATATGTAGCGGCTGTAACGTGCTATATGTAGCGGCTGTAACGTGCTATATGTAGCGGCTGTAACGTGCTATATGTAGCGGCTGTAACGTGCTAGCGGCTGTAACGTGCTATATGTAGCGGCTGTAACGTGCTATATGTAGCGGCTGTAACGTGCTATATGTAGCGGCTGTAACGTGCTATATGTAGCGACTGTAACGCTATATGTAGCGACTGTAACGTGCTATATGTAGCGGCTGTAACGTGCTATATGTAGCGACTGTAACGTGCTATATGTAGCGACTGTAACGTGCTATATGTAGCGACTGTAACGTGCTATATGTAGCGACTGTAACGTGCTATATGTAGCGACTGTAACGTGCTATATGTAGCGGCTGCGTGCTATATGTAGCGGCTGTGCTATATGTAGCGGCTGTAACGTGCTATATGTAGCGGCTGTAACGTGCTATATGTAGCGGCTGTAACGTGCTATATGTAGCGGCTGTAACGTGCTATATGTAGCGACTGTAACGTGCTATATGTAGCGGCTGTAACGTGCTATATGTAGCGGCTGTAACGTGCTGTATGTAGCGGCTGTAACGTGCTATATGTAGCGGCTGTAACGTGCTGTATGTAGCGGCTGTAACGTGCTATATGTAGCGACTGTAACGTGCTGTATGTAGCGACTGTAACGTGCTATATGTAGCGGCTGTAACGTGCTATATGTAGCGACTGTAACGTGCTGTATGTAGCGACTGTAACGTGCTGTAGGCATGCTGGACACTGGCTACAGTGTGGGTGTGCAGACTGGCTCACTATAGAACAGATAACAACAAACCCAAACCAGGTTTTACTACACTGACCCCAAATGGCTAATTATAGTGTTGCAAACTGGCTACTGAAGTACCAGTCGTAGGTCAGACAATAAAAAATCGTCTACATGCAGTTCATCTGTAGGTAGTACAGCAACTCATAAATCGTCACATCCAACAGATGGCGATGTGTGACTTTGCACTTCCTTGACAGGCCTGGTCGTGTCTGGAACGTCAAGCGAATGTCAACCTGAGACTTGATTGGTCCGCTACCCTTCTCAAACCAGTCCTAATGTTTCGGTGGCAGTAGCATAAATGGCAAAGTGGGATAATGGGCAGGGGAGGTGAGTCTTGGTCTAATGATATTAGGCAGGGGAAGTGACTCTTGGTCTACCACTTTTAGGACGATCTTGGGTTGAAACGAGATTTGGTGTTTTGTTGCACGTTGAAATGACACGCAACTCTCCAACCTTCAAGGTGTTACGACTGGCAGCATTCAGTCTCGCTATGTTCCCAGTCAAGTCGACAAACGTATGACAACATATTGACTGACGTTTGACCTTTTATAGTAATTGTTATTGAACATGATTGTCAGAACTTGCACGCAAATTTTGCTTTTATTTCCCTTCCATTTTCATGCAGTCTTATAGAAAATGCTGTGCAAATAGACAAAAATTTCAAACTGATGCACCAGTTAACGAACATGTGATTTACATCGTTTCATAATAAATACTGCTTTTGTATTGAGTGTTTCAAGAATAAGAACAATAAAATGAACATTCTCAGTATTTCCCATACCTGTCTGATTTGTTTTGTTTCGCGGTCTACAATACTGTAGCGCTTGGACTTTCGCAATATGGCCGACCTTAGTCACATATGACGTCACGAGGGTAAAAGGTCAGGTGAGTTCACGGACTTGCTTGCGGAATATGCATAATGGCCGAAGCTGAGATAGTAGAAATTGTTTTCCCGATTAAAATATAAATAATATTAATTTTGCATTAAAAAACGGAAGCGCTGAAGGGACCTCATGAAATATAATTTATCTTGAGCGCACAAGTTAGTATATTGAGCGCACAAGTTAGTATCTTGAGCGCACAAGTTAATATCTTGAGCGCACAAGTTAGTTATCTTGAGTGCACGGGTTAATATATTGAGCGCTCAAGTTAGTATCTTGAGCGCACACGTTAGTATGTTGAGCGCTCAACTTAGTATATATTGAGATACACTGCTTCATAAGCAGTTCATGTGGAAGCAAGGAGGAGCGGAAACGTACGGAAGCGCTGAAGGGACCTCATGAAATATAATTTATCTTGAGCGCACAAGTTAGTATATTGAGCGCACAAGTTAGTATATTGAGCACACAAGTTAGTTATCTTGAGTGCACAAGTTAGTATCTTGAGCGCACAAGTTAGTATCTTGAGCGCACACGTTAGTATGTTGAGCGCTCAACTTAGTATATATTGAGATACACTGCTTCATAAGTATTTCATGTGGAAGCAAGGAGGAGCGGAAACGTACGGAAGCGCTGAAGGGACCTCATGAAATATAATTTATCTTGAGCGCACAAGTTAGTATATTGAGCGCACAAGTTAGTATATTGAGCACACAAGTTAGTTATCTTGAGTGCACAAGTTAGTATCTTGAGCGCACAAGTTAGTATCTTGAGCGCACACGTTAGTATGTTGAGCGCTCAACTTAGTATATATTGAGATACACTGCAAGGAGGAGCGGAAACGCGATCTGATTCAAGCTTATTTCAGTCTTGGGTTCCAATACAAACACATAACACATCTTCTTGTCAAAACTCAGGGTATAGTATAGTACGCCACTTGAAGCGTATTCTGAGGTGTATGTCCCTCTTTCGTACCAGCTACCAGATTTGCTGATGTTACAGTGAGTGAGTGAATACGGTTTACACCGCTTTTAGCAATATTCCAGCAATATCACGGTGGGGAACACGAGAAATGGGCTGCACACGTACCCATGTGGGGAATCGAACCCAGGCGTGACGAGCGGACGCTTTAACCAGGAGGCTACCCCACCGCTGCGCTGATGTTACATACTTTATTGCGGACGACTTCGACGATCTGAACAAAGACATGGTTATCGTTGATGCATCAAAAATGTATCCAATGCGGTTTAATCGTGAAACAGGATACTGTACGGTCGTTGTTGGACCCGAATGTGTTGAATTTCGCGCAGGACACTGTCTTCATCGACGTCTTTATTCTTCAACTTCCTGTGTTGTTAAAACATGTTAAATAAACTACAACACACATACGTATACATAAGGGATTGATACGGAAGAAGTGAAACGGGGAACACGGTTTTTTAGTAAGAAATAAAGTCGGTATATATGATATACGTGCACATACTAATGGATCAAATAAATCAGGCGGGTTGTATATGATATTGTACAGAGTTAAACTGCCATTGTACCCACGTTAGGAAACATTACTGATACATGCATACCAAGACTACAGACTATAGTTCCCTGAAAGTGGTCGACTTTACTTCCAATACATCAGACATTAGTTTTATAATTAAGATAATTAAGTATAACACTCAATGTTTACATTTTTCATGGTCATGTAATACTATGTATTCATAATAAAGCCGTAGCAAAAAACAAGTTATCCAAGTGTTCATAATACTATGTACCAATATAAGAAGTAAGTAAAACCACTATTCATCCCTGCAATAAACTTCTACTCATGTTTATGTTTTAATTCGTATTATGACATGACACATACCTAGGCCTGCTTTATGTAATAAAGCAAAAAGTGGTAAAATCAGATACAAAGAATAGTATTGACAAGCATAAAGACGATGAACGTTTACATGATAAACATTATCAATGTTCATGATACATTTGCATACTTTTACATAGTCTCATCATAAACACCTATAGTTAACTCCGACTTTGCATCGTTTGAAATCTTCCAAAAAGGATATAAGTTTGTACATTTTAGCCAGCAGTCAAGCAAATGTGCGTTCCATTAATGCCATTAGAGAGATATTAACTTGTGCGCTCAAGATAATTTTTATTTCATGAGGTCCCTTCAGCGCTTCCGTATTAAAACTTGGGGTACATGTTTCTGAAGACTTATTTTAACCCAGTCAGTTATAGCAATTTTTCTCCTTTAAGAGTTTATAATGCATATATCGATAGGCGGCGCATGACGTCTCTTGAACCCGCACCAGTCACCCGGGGAAAATGTTAAGTACAATGTACTGGATATAAGACCTTTCAGACCTGGCATGTCACACTCACCCTTCACCGTTCTGGAAGCGGACAACGTTGGGATCTGCGGCCTGGGCGGGTCTCAGCTTGAGGCACGTGTACCGCTCCCACTCCGTCATCGCCTGCTTCATCATATACCTCTCCTTCTTATCTGCCACAGAACAACACACAGGTACTAGTAATCACCACGGATCTCACTGTACGGGTGCACACAAAGAGCTAGATACTTTAGATTAAGAATGAAATTTCAGGGGGGAAAATCGAAATCAAATGTTAAATGTCTGAAACGTTGGTTATTCAATTTAGGTCAATGTTACCAGTAGAGTGTATTAATTGTGTAATTGACACCACAACAGCTTTATTAAGGTACAGTAATAACCTTTCTATAACTAGCATCGACAGGGACGAAAATAGGCAGGAGTGGGGGATGGGGTGGGAGGGCATATTTCCCCCAACAACCTCATCTCATTGGTCAACCATCCGGCACACAGGGGACATTGAATGAAAGGTGTGATAGGAGTGTTTGGGGGATGCTATCTAGACTTACCGAAGTGACCCGGGGCAAATGTATATGGTATCTCGGATCCCGTCCACCGTAGTAGGACGTCTCGGGCCGCCTTCCGCTTCTCTCGGCCTGGTGTAGGGTGCATCCTCGTGTCGCTGCAAGGCCAAACATAACCATCCAGTAAACACCACCGTGTCCCAGAAGGTGCGGTCAAACTATATTGTGGGCATATTTGCGGGTTTTATTTCTAAAATACAAAAAGTATTTCTGCAACTGTTGACTCGTTTAGAATGAGTGAGTGAGTGAGTTTAGTTTTACAAGCATGGGTCGGGTTACTGAATATTCTAACCGGGATCTCACGGGTAGACTCGTTTAGATGACAATAGCACTGACTGCCATCCACGTGTATTACGATGGAGCATGTGTTCATCATAACGGTGACATATGAATAATGGACAATCTGACCATGTAGAGGAACCGGACCTGTTGATATGAACCGACAAACCTTTTTTCCTGTCTGTCAATTGCACGTTAATAGGATGACTAAGTAACTGGTGTTAAATGACCTAAGAGACGTTCTAGCTTGAGTCTGTGATCCATGGTGTATTGTAGGGGTGGGTATTGCAGAGAATTTTCATATTGCGATATATTGCGATGCGGAAGCATATATTGCGATATGTATTGCAATATATTGCAAGGATTATTTTTTTAACAAAAACTACTTATAATCGAGTTAATGCTTGATTATGAAGCAAAAACACAACAAAATCACCATGATTGATTAACCTTTTATATAAACTTTTAATCATGACAAATAAAAATGTAAGTTACATTTGGCACTAATCAAACAGGGAAAAGAACAATTCAAAAAGTGGAAATATCCGAAGATTTCCGAGTGTTACGAAGTTTTCCGAATGCATGTCAAAATACCGGTTTTCGATCAGCGTATCGCAATACTTATCGTTTTCATGTCTGAACCGGTAAATACCGGTAAACCGGTTATATTGCGCAGCCCTAGTGTATTGTTTAACACATTCGTACTGTTGTTTTAGAAGTCACGGTTTTTATGCATCTACAGGTGGCAATTTGAGTTCAAAACAAACAAATGCTCAAGACATCATTATCTAATCCTCATTCACAATAACCCTTTTGCTAGCGTCCATTTCGATTCCAACAGGTATGGTCTTCAGTCAAACAACTGTCAAGGACAAACTAGGTTCCGAATTACACACCGTTCTTTGTAAAACCTGTCACAGTCACGTCCGCTGGCCTTTTAAAAAGTGCAGTTATTTTTATGTTTGATGTTAGAAAGAGATAATCTGCAATTTATCAAAACGAGGACGAGAATATCTTTTTCTAGAAGAACAGAACAAAGAGTATATTCAGTAATTTTGGTCCCAATTTTTTAAAGTAATTAGAACAAGCGATGATGTATAGGAATATGTAGGTACAAGCTGGCTCCACACTGACAAATATCTAAACCTCAGTGATAGGGGTATCTAGGTACAAGCAGGCTCCACACTGACAAATATCTAAACCTCAGTGATAGGGGTATCTAGGTACAAGCAGGCTCCACACTGACAAATATCTAAACCTCAGTGATAGGGGTATCTAGGTACAGCTGGCTCCACACTGACAAATATCTAAACCTCAGTGATAGGGGTATCTAGGTACAGCTGGCTCCACACTGACAAATATCTAAACCTCAGTGATAGGGGTATCTAGGTACAGCTGGCTCCACACTGACAAATATCTAAACCTCAGTGATAGGGGTATCTAGGTACAAGCTGGCTCCACACTGACAAATATCTAAACCTCAGTGATAGGGGTATCTCAATTGGAGGACACTAACTGTTTTGAGTGGTTCAAGCGTTAAACTGTTTGTGTCAGAACCATGTTATGGAAATATCAGGGATAGTGGTACTTGAAGTAGATGTTCTACCGCAAGGCGGATAACAAACCCCAACATCTTCTTCTTTTATTGCAAATATAGCAATACATTTTGAGAAGTTCATTTTAAATTTTATCATTGTGATACCTTCATAAATATAAGTATTTATTTATGAAAAAGTACTATCAATGTGAATCTACGTATATAGCCTAATGAGTACAATTAATGGCCATATATGGAACACCGTCTTTGTCCCCCGTGAAAGTGTGCCTTGTGATGAATGTCGCGCATTCCAGCAATCAACTCACCTGAGACGTGTGACCTACCCAGTAAGGACGCCTACGCTGATTGGCTGGTTACATCACACGTACACACCTGTTCTCGCGTTACAACGAGGTATTTATTCACAGGTCCAGCCTACAGAAAGTGACATTCCGAGGTTAGTGTCTCAAAGTATTCCTATACAAGGTGACATCATGGCCATACCTGTTTCTAGAATACCTGTTTACTCACCACATAATACAGGTGTGTTATTATCTACCCCAAGCACCACCACCCACCACCCATCCCCCACCAAACCGATAGACATTGTATTCAGATGCTAATAAAAGGAGATCGGTCGATCAAACTGTCGTCACTCACAGACCATTTAACGGGGTATTTCGTTTCGTAATAGCAAGCTTATACGTAGATAACAGGAGCTGTTACTTTAGTTTAATATGTGAACAATACACTTCTCAGAATATCCTTTATAGGTTAGTGACCGTTCTCAAACCTGCAGAATTGGTCGTGTGGCAATAGTATGCCGGTGTTGTGATGATAATATTAAGAACGCTTCAGGTAGCCCTTCAAACATGTACCAGATATATATCAGATTGTGTCAGTCATGCTTACTTTTTTATAAAAACACTTTACAGTTTAGACTGTAATTTAATGACATTGTCCTCCATGTGGTCATATCTATTCGATTATCCTGCAATATGTCATTTAAATGAATGAACATACAACAGATGTGTTGACCTAAAACTAAGTGTTAGTGTGTATGTTTACTCAAAGTGATGTGTGAGTGGAATGAGGGAGTAAGTGGGTTTGGTTTTACGCCGATTTTAGCAATATTCCAGCAATATCGCGGCGGGGGACACCAAAAATGGGCCTCACACATTGTAACCATGTAAGGAATCGAACCTGGGTCTTCGGCGTGACGTGCGAACCACTAGGCTACCCCACCGCCCCATGACTGTAATGAAGAACCCGTGAAGTAATCTGTTCCTATTAAGGAATCACTTGTCTGTACGGTGTAATCTGGATTATTTGGTTTATTCCTTTAGACACCTTGAGACTTTAGTAGGCTATAATATAACTGAATTTCAAAAACATACTAGCTTCTTGGGCAGAACCCAATAATGTCTCCTGCAAGAACAGCATGCAGTAGAGTACATCATGCAATCACTCCTGAATGGAGAAGAAAATTCAGCTGAATATATATAAAGTGATTGGAACTTCGTCCCAGTCACGCTGAATCTGCATCACTAGAGCATGTGAATCGTGATTTAGATATATGTTTAGGTCCGTGTGGTGAGGGAACACATCGCTAAGTAGACATAGGGGACAATGTCCACATCATCTTTGTGTTGAAATAAACACCACGAGTCACTATACATAGAACCCAGTAAAGTGACTCATCTGTCGTGGACAATGTCCGGATGTAAGATGATGGTGCGATCGACCAGCGCATGTATCATCGTCCCTTCCTCGGGTAGACCTTTGTGTTACGTCCATCAGGAAACGCGGGGGACAAGGGAAACACACGTTCAATGTGCTCGCGTGCTAGAACGGACACCTGCATAGTAAGGATCCTGAGGAAACCCTCCCTGAAGCCGTTGCTAAGGAACAATGTACCACGTGTATGTACGTATTGCTACTAGTGCGATAACGTCATGGAAATCACTATTTCCTTGTTATCATTCATGCTTGCTGAAATATGATGGCCATCAATATATCACAGTGAAGCGGTACCAACGGGAACGATCTTGATAGAACGTATTAGAACGTCCAAACCCACCATCAGTGGATCCTAGTAACACACCTACAACAGCATACACTGGCGTGACACATGGGACTAATACAGCCTTCATACTGGGAGTAGAATGAACGCAGCATGTCGGCATATTGTGGTGCACCAGCAAGGGGAATCTGATTCTTCACAGAAACATTAAGAGTCTGCAATCATATGCACATATTTAAGACCTGTCTACTAGGCATCTGGTACATGTAGCTAAGGCTTACCTGCTGGGCATCTGGTACATGTAGCTAAGGCTTACCTGCTGGGCATCTGGTACATGTAGCTAAGGCTTACCTGCTGGGCATCTGGTACATGTAGCTAAGGCTTACCTGCTGGGCATCTGGTACAAGTTGAGGAACTGTTCCTGAGTCAGCATCATGTCCAGCTCGGCAAGGATGTGCTCCCCAGGGGCAACCATCCTGTGGGCGGCAACTGAACACACACAACGATAAGTAAACAACACAATGATATCAACGTAATGAAAGTATGTAAGGTTTCCCACAAGTTGACAGCCAGATACAGGAGTTGGATGAAACCGGCGCAGTTTGTACATGTTTGGCTGGGCTTCCTTCAGAACTGTATCTGGTGAATCCCTAACTATATACACCTGGTCTGATGTCTAACATATATTGCCATGTATACTATATCCACGGGCCCTGCACCACTTACCATCAATGCCCCCCAACTGCTTCGTCAGAATCTGGTCTATGGTCAGGTTTGTCGGCGGGTCGAGAGACTTAAAGCTTCCAGGAGGAGGGTACTTCTTCTTTGGGTGTGTCTCCTGTCGGGGACGGGCGTGTGTGACATCACCCAGGCACACCTGACAACAATGTACACGTGGTTAATTCTTTAGATGATGGCGGTACCAGTTACAAGAACATGGATAGGGAATGAGATCAACACCCCGTGTAGCTGTAACACAGAGGGAGTGAGGCAACATGAGCAGGATCGCTGGTTGACGCAATAGCTTCTAGTCAGATGTACATCATTATAGATATACTACTCTAACCCTATGACAATTACGCTGTAATTCCTAAGGTAATAATTCAGACAGAACTAACACTAACAAACAGAATTTGGTGACAAACATTAAATTCTTAATAGCAAGCACATGGGAAATAAAAAGCAAATGGTACACTCTGTGATTACTGATAACCGATATAAGGAGTGACGATTGTTGCTCTGGCTAATGACAAGGGAAGGAAGTGTGTAAATGCCTAGAAATAGTTCGAGTGCTGTTATACGACCACGTAGATTGTGAACATGTCCTGTATGCCTGCTCGGTACACCACTGCGTCGAATACTAACTGCAGATGCAAATTATTACATAATGGCCACAGCTACTTAGTATCATGGAATCGGATAAGGAAGGTCGGCGTGTGTTTCAAGACCGACGTAACACGTTTAGGAAACATTCTGCTCCATCATACGGTCTTTGTAGGTCCAGTCTAAGCTGTACTTTAACATTTGCACAATGGTATCGGAGTTGATTTCAGTTACACAATACACTTGAATCAAAGGTCATTGTGAGGTGACATTTCCTGGTGGCAGACCTCCACTGTTCGAAGCATGCCCGACAACGTCATGTTGAGCTTGTTGTGTCGAGGTCAAATCTATGTCCTATTCGTCACAATGGGAGTCCACATATATTGCTGTTGAAGGGATTCCCAGCCAAAAGCGCCCTATTTCATGCATTATCGTAATGTGGACAGTGACCTGTCATCTGCATGGGACCCCCCTCCTACAACACTGTTGTTGTCCATCCTGTCAAACCACTGGGTCCTCTGTGCCATACCGCCTTCACACTACCCTGAAGTAACATATGCCAGAACATTTATCCCCAACTGTCAGCTTGATAACAACCTCCAGTCGAGGATGGTTAATACAAACATTCAAATAACTTAAATGGGATCATATAAATGCGCATAATATACATAGATAATGAGAATATACAAGGTATTAACGAAGATTACGATTTTATGGATAACAACTTCTGTTTATTACAGCGTGTAGATTCTTACATCGTTATCAAGCTATCACTTTTAGCTTGGTAACAGTGTAAGAATCTACACACTGAAATGTCGCTATGTACGAATATATTTTCCAATCTTTGTTATTGGTTTTCCAAATTCGATAATATCGATCAAACAATAAATATACAAAGCAAGACCTTAACAGCCGACATGTCACCCGTTTAGAGAATTAGTCCAGTGGTTGAAGTAGTGGCTTGTATTGAACTCAGGGGTTTGATTCCCGACACAGATAGTCAATATCAGCATTATGTGATGTCAGTACCTACGCATTCGCAACACGTAGATACAAATTCAGCAGACCTGTTATCACACTTACCGTTACGGTTATATTAAGGAATAAGAATGCAGTGTGCCAGCTGAGATGAGCTGAGAAATCACGTACTATTATTATTATAGGATATTTATATAGCGCACATATCCGAGCCACTCGTACATGCTCAAGGTACTTATGGTACTAGCCACACGTCAGTCCCTGTCACTGAGAGAACGTATAGAACAATGAGGCTTTCCAACACTTGATATTCGCTTTTCTTTTTCTGTTGTACATTATCAGCTTCAGCTGTAATGAAACTGTCATATTTACCTCACTGTTTTAGGGAACAACCCAAAGGGTGGTAATTATTGGTTTGAGATGAACGTTTAGAAGCTCATTGACAACTATTTAAACATATGCTAAGCTATTTTTTAAAATATAAAAATATAGAACGGTATTCTTTAGAATATATAAGACATTCTTTAGATATGTTTAATATGCAACGGTATTATTTGTTTAGTTGTGTGAAAGAGCTCATGAGAGTGTTACTACAGTGAGAACGATATGTAAGTCAGGGTAAAACAGGGTTTGTAGTTCATCACCAGGCATCAGATACACTCGATTTTATATTTCGGTCATAACAGAATCGCCCTGAATGATACAGAATACCTACATTTCTCGCCATAAGACAATTTTCACGAAGAAAGCATGAATTCTGTATATAATTCCTATGTTGCATTTCTTGTTACTGCGAGTATATACTGAGAACATTGACCACTGGCGCGATGTCTACATAAGTCGCCATATACCAGTCTCAAAAAGCAGTTTCGTATGAAACTGTATGCAATAACAAGAAAACAGGCGAATATCAAATTGAAAACATGGTATGTTGCCCTAAAGCTTGGAGACAAACAGTCGGCACTTAATACTGTACACTACACGTGACCCTGCCAGCCAGACCGTTTCCGTGCTGGCTCAGCTCCCTCTTAAAAACCTCGCGTAGAACTGATACAAATCTAACACAGACTCCAGTAAATCCAGTATTCATACCAATCAGAATTTACACTTGTATATCTAAAACCTACTTCTGACACTTGTACCTTCACTTTGACAATGTTTACTTTGTGAAACATTTTTAAGTTCATTTAACTAGTTAATAATTCAGTTTGAAACATCCCCATGTCTATAAACGGCTGGTGTTGTTATTTTACAGTACCAGTGTCCTAGTTCAATATGTATAAAAATTAAAAGACAGTTTGAAACTCCAAGCGGGAAAACTGGTACGGTGTTTTCTTCATAATTGGCACAAAGTGACAACGCTATAAACAATTCAATGTCTGGGATTTTGAGACTGCCCGTAACAAACAACACAGTTATAGCATTGTTATGTGGTAATTACAAAAACATGCAGACGTCACTGACCACATTTTAAAAACTAAACTCCCCAGTACTTACCACCACCAGCGCCATCGACACCAACAACCTGCTCCGCATGTTAAAACTTTTAAAAGCCAATTGCGTCTGTTTCCGTGTTATGTTTTAATGTTTACAGTGTGTATCGTGGTGTGAATGAAGTCTCCGACATAACGCCACCTATATATCCTAGTAAGGAGGTGCGTCAACAATGACCTGTTTTCCTCAACCCATAGAGCGGAAAAACGAATCATCGTGGGCTCAACGCGTTATAACGGGGCATATAGTGTGACGTCACTCCCGGCGTTTTCATTCATGATCATTTAAGCATAGGAAAGCCATCAACCCATATATGTCCTATTTTGGACGGCGAAGGAAATCATTCTAAACATGTACGTGCAACTTTTCAGAATGATTCTAAACCCTCTAACCAGACGAGAAATCTTCATTCTTGAGATGACCTGTGACTATACTGCTGTCCCTCCGTGTCAGACATTTTATATCACAAATCACATTTGAGCAATAATTGCAGTAAATGTTGTAATAATTTTTGCTGGGTTAAATTGATAGAGCTTTATCAATTTTAAGTAAAACTTTCGTTTCGCAGTAACAATTACATTAATATTAATGATAATCAAGGAGTTATTACGCACCTATTCCACACCCTAAAACATGCTCAGTATGAACTCGAACATTCCATCGGATCTAGTCAGATCAATGAAAACCTACCACACATATTGAAGACCATGCCATGGTCTATAATTAAGTACTGACTCGTCTCTAATATTTACAGACCGCCGCCATATAGGTGGAACATTGCTGAGTGCGGCGGTAAACAACAGACAGACTGGGCATGCCTGTAACAGCCAGGCCGTCACCATACGGTGTGATATAATACAAGATATATACTGGGCATGCCTGTAACAGCCAGGCCGTCACCAAGTAGGTGGCGGTGTGTACCTGTACAACCACTAATACAAGATAAATACTGGGCATGCCTGTAACAGCCAGGCCGTCACCAAGTAGGTGGCGGTGTGTACCTGTACAACCACTAATACAAGATATATACTGGGCATGCCTGTAACAGCCAGGCCGTCACCAAGTAGGTGGCGGTGTGTACCTGTACAACCACTAATACAAGATATATACTGGGCATGCCTGTAACAGCCAGGCCGTCACCAAGTAGGTGGTGGTGTGTACCTGTACAACCACTAATACAAGATATATACTGGGCATGCCTGTAACAGCCAGGCCGTCACCAAGTAGGTGGTGGTGTGTACCTGTACAACCACTAATACAAGATATATACTGGGCATGCCTGTAACAGCCAGGCCGTCACCAAGTAGGTGGCGGTGTGTACCTGTACAACCACTAATACAAGATATATACTGGGCATGCCTGTAACAGCCAGGCCGTCACCAAGTAGGTGGTGGTGTGTACCTGTACAACCACTAATACAAGATATATACTGGGCATGCCTGTAACAGCCAGGCCGTCACCAAGTAGGTGGCGGTGTGTACCTGTACAACCACTAATACAAGATATATACTGGGCATGCCTGTAACAGCCAGGCCGTCACCAAGTAGGTGGTGGTGTGTACCTGTACAACCACTAATACAAGATATATACTGGGCATGCCTGTAACAGCCAGGCCGTCACCAAGTAGGTGGCGGTGTGTACCTGTACAACCACTAATACAAGATATATACTGGACATGCCTGTAACAGCCAGGCCGTCACCAAGTAGGTGGTGGTGTGTACCTGTACAACCACTAATACAAGATATATACTGGGCATGCCTGTAACAGCCAGGCCGTCACCAAGTAGGTGGCGGTGTGTACCTGTACAACCACTAATACAAGATATATACTGGACATGCCTGTAACAGCCAGGCCGTCACCAAGTAGGTGGCGGTGTGTACCTGTACAACCACTAATACAAGATATATACTGGACATGCCTGTAACAGCCAGGCCGTCACCACTCAAGTAGGTGGTGGTGTGTACCTGTACCTGTACAACCACTAATACAAGATATATACTGGACATGCCTGTAACAGCCAGGCCGTCACCAAGTAGGTGGTGGTGTGTACCTGTACAACCACTAATACAAGATATATACTGGGCATGCCTGTAACAGCCAGGCCGTCACCAAGTAGGTGGCGGTGTGTACCTGTACAACCACTAATACAAGATATATACTGGGCATGCCTGTAACAGCCAGGCCGTCACCAAGTAGGTGGCGGTGTGTACCTGTACAACCACTAATACAAGATATATACTGGGCATGCCTGTAACAGCCAGGCCGTCACCAAGTAGGTGGCGGTGTGTACCTGTACAACCACTAATACAAGATATATACTGGGCATGCCTGTAACAGCCAGGCCGTCACCAAGTAGGTGGTGGTGTGTACCTGTACAACCACTAATACAAGATATATACTGGGCATGCCTGTAACAGCCAGGCCGTCACCAAGTAGGTGGCGGTGTGTACCTGTACAACCACTAATACAAGATATATACTGGGCATGCCTGTAACAGCCAGGCCGTCACCAAGTAGGTGGCGGTGTGTACCTGTACAACCACTAATACAAGATATATACTGGGCATGCCTGTAACAGCCAGGCCGTCACACCAGTAGGTGGCGGTGTGTACCTGTACAACCACTAATACAAGATATATACTGGGCATGCCTGTAACAGCCAGGCCGTCACCAAGTAGGTGGCGGTGTGTACCTGTACAACCACTAATACAAGATATATACTGGACATGCCTGTAACAGCCAGGCCGTCACCAAGTAGGTGGCGGTGTGTACCTGTACAACCACTAATACAAGATATATACTGGGCATGCCTGTAACAGCCAGGCCGTCACCAAGTAGGTGGCGGTGTGTACCTGTACAACCACTAATACAAGATATATACTGGGCATGCCTGTAACAGCCAGGCCGTCACCAAGTAGGTGGCGGTGTGTACCTGTACAACCACTAATACAAGATATATACTGGGCATGCCTGTAACAGCCAGGCCGTCACCAAGTAGGTGGCGGTGTGTACCTGTACAACCACTAATACAAGATATATACTGGGCATGCCTGTAACAGCCAGGCCGTCACCAAGTAGGTGGCGGTGTGTACCTGTACAACCACTAATACAAGATATATACTGGGCATGCCTGTAACAGCCAGGCCGTCACCAAGTAGGTGGTGGTGTGTACCTGTACAACCACTAATACAAGATATATACTGGGCATGCCTGTAACAGCCAGGCCGTCACCAAGTAGGTGGTGGTGTGTACCTGTACAACCACTAATACAAGATATATACTGGGCATGCCTGTAACAGCCAGGCCGTCACCAAGTAGGTGGCGGTGTGTACCTGTACAACCACTAATACAAGATATATACTGGGCATGCCTGTAACAGCCAGGCCGTCACCAAGTAGGTGGCGGTGTGTACCTGTACAACCACTAATACAAGATATATACTGGACATGCCTGTAACAGCCAGGCCGTCACCAAGTAGGTGGCGGTGTGTACCTGTACAACCACTAATACAAGATATATACTTGACATGCCTGCATGCCTGTAACAGCCAGGCCGTCACCAAGTAGGTGGCGGTGTGTACCTGTACAAACCACTAATACAAGATATATACTGGGCATGCCTGTAACAGCCAGGCCGTCACCAAGTAGGTGGCGGTGTGTACCTGTACAACCACTAATACAAGATATATACTGGGCATGCCTGTAACAGCCAGGCCGTCACCAAGTAGGTGGCGGTGTGTACCTGTACAACCACTAATACAAGATATATACTGGGCATGCCTGTAACAGCCAGGCCGTCACCAAGTAGGTGGCGGTGTGTACCTGTACAACCACTAATACAAGATATATACTGGGCATGCCTGTAACAGCCAGGCCGTCACCATAGTAGGTGGCCGTCACCAAGTGGTGGCGGTGTGTACAACCACTAATACAAGATATATACTGGGCATGCCTGTAACAGCCAGGCCGTCACCAAGTAGGTGGCGGTGTGTACCTGTACAACCACTAATACAAGATATATACTGGGCATGCCTGTAACAGCCAGGCCGTCACCAAGTAGGTGGCGGTGTGTACCTGTACAACCACTAATACAAAATATATATACTGGGCATGCCTGTAACAGCCAGGCCGTCACCAAGTAGGTGGCGGTGTGTACCTGTACAACCACTAATACAAGATATATACTGGGCATGCCTGTAACAGCCAGGCCGTCACCAAGTAGGTGGCGGTGTGTACCTGTACAACCACTAATACAAGATATATACTGGGCATGCCTGTAACAGCCAGGCCGTCACCAAGTAGGTGGCGGTGTGTACCTGTACAACCACTAATACAAGATATATACTGGGCATGCCTGTAACAGCCAGGCCGTCACCAAGTAGGTGGCGGTGTGTACCTGTACAACCACTAATACAAGATATATACTGGGCATGCCTGTAACAGCCAGGCCGTCACCAAGTAGGTGGCGGTGTGTACCTGTACAACCACTAATACAAGATATATACTGGGCATGCCTGTAACAGCCAGGCCGTCACCAAGTAGGTGGCGGTGTGTACCTGTACAACCACTAATACAAGATATATACTGGGCATGCCTGTAACAGCCAGGCCGTCACCAAGTAGGTGGTGGTGTGTACCTGTACAACCACTAATACAAGATATATACTGGGCATGCCTGTAACAGCCAGGCCGTCACCAAGTAGGTGGCGGTGTGTACCTGTACAACCACTAATACAAGATATATACTGGGCATGCCTGTAACAGCCAGGCCGTCACCAAGTAGGTGGGGGTGTGTACCTGTACAACCACTAATACAAAATATATATACTGGGCATGCCTGTAACAGCCAGGCCGTCACCAAGTAGGTGGCGGTGTGTACCTGTACAACCACTAATACAAAATATATATACTGGGCATGCCTGTAACAGCCAGGCCGTCACCAAGTAGGTGGCGGTGTGTACCTGTACAACCACTAATACAAGATATATACTGGGCATGCCTGTAACAGCCAGGCCGTCACCAAGTAGGTGGCGGTGTACCTACCTGTACAACCACTAATACAAGATATATACTGGGCATGCCTGTAACAGCCAGGCCGTCACCAAGTAGGTGGCGGTGTGTACCTGTACAACCACTAATACAAGATATATACTGGGCATGCCTGTAACAGCCAGGCCGTCACCAAGTA